GCTGTCACATATTGTGTAAGAGGGTTAATGACAGCACTCTCCTTTTCTGGCAGAATAGATGACATTTAGAGGTTGAAGGAGAATGACTAGTTACATGAAACTCTACATTTTCTGATAAATAAGGAGCATTGGACTAGCAAAGTTATACTTGGTTGCTTGCGTGCGTCTGTTGGCAGAAAAACATCTTGAAAGACGAAAGTTGCTAACTGATTCACTGACCCTGTAGATGGCGACAGCCCTGTGTCTTACACGAGTACACAAACTGTTTTCTTCACTTTTAACCTAAATAAAGATTGTTATTTAGTTTACACAAGTACTTAATCTGTTTATTTTCTTAGCTTTGAACTCACTATGTTTAGCTAAACTTCGATTTACTCTGTAATTATTCTGATCGAATCTTCTATTATTATCTTCTATTATGAACCTACCTGATGCAATTAGCAGGAATCAGATAACCTAAGAATACCACAGAGTAAGTAGGAAGAAAAAATTTTAGTGCCATGACCATAGGATTTATTGCAGAGTTATCCATTCTTACTGACATGCATGTTCCCCTTAATTAAGTTAAACGAGTTTAAAGCAACTCTATTTTTTCTCAAAGTAGAAGTACTCATGGCCAAGAGGGAGAGTTTACAATTGAAGAAAGACAGATGAATGAGAAAGGTGTTGAGTTCAGGATAAATCCTTTCTGGATAGCAGACTTTTGTCGATGTTCTGAAGGTCCTTTGCATCAATCATCTTACAACCACAGACTCAGGATGATCAGCCAACATCTGATGTACCCAGAATGACACCTTGTCTCTTAGGATTAATACTGGCATAAAACAACCAAGGACTGAAGATCATTAAGGTGGAATGTAACCTGGTGAGTGTGAGACCTCATGTGAAGGTCTCTACAAGATTCATAGCCTAGCACCAGCATACAGCCCCAGCTCTTGTCAAAACCACCCATGATCAGCCAAAACGAACTAGAGGTACTGCCGGTAAATGCCATTCAACAGTCAGAGCTGTTTTCCCAGCAAGCACCCATGGATAAAGATCATGAAACATGGGGCAGTATTGAACCTATCTGGTGTGAAAGGTGTGCTGCCAGGATAATCAAGACTTGTAATGCAACCTTGATCTGCAGGATGAGTTGCCAACAGTCCCTGAGTATGTCTAGTAACTTACTTCTTCAACATCGGCAGGCACTGGCTGAGAACTCACAAGGGAGAGAATTTGGTCCACACCAGAGGTTTCCTTGAGTGAGGCAAAGAATATTTTGCCCTTATGTTCAGAGTAGCAAGAAGACTTGGACATATATTGAAGCATTTCAAGCAGATAACTGCCTTTGACAGCTAGACGCAGTAGGTTGGATGGCCTAACCCCAAATACCATCAAACACCTGGATGAAGCACAACAATAGGACTGGAACACAGTGCAGAATTGAATGATCTATTGGGCTGAGTCTAAGACTTGGATTTCAGTCTCGCAATATATCAAGACCTCTGAGTGAGACAACCATTCCACCCTTTGGATATTGACTTTATTCTGGTAATTGGTGACATACTGGGTGTATGAAGAGAGTTAAATATCCAGCTCTGTCTAGGAAATGCCACTCATAGAACAAAGGTAGTTGTCTCTGGCATTGACATCCTTTGGATAGACGTACTATAGAAATTATCCATCAATTTGTTTGTGTAATGGTGAAATGGTGTTCTGTGATAGAGTTATTCAGATTTGCAGCATTGGATCTAGATTGATTGCACAATCCTTGATCAGTGATCTCAGATGTGTTGGTAACCATATATTTGCTTTTGGCTACAGTACAACAAGTCTAACCTTATTGTCACTACTAGTCTTATGCTACTTCCACCACCTAACTAAACCCCTAACAATTACAGTATACAGCTCATGATTACAGAACAACACCAGGATTTCATACATCCTCAGACAGACGACTGTCGAAGCTAACACTTCCTACTATCTGTACAAGAAATAGCTCATTTAATGTGTGTGTCTGTAACTGTGGTACTTGGTAGTAACACACTAGACTTTGTTTGGAGTAAACTATAGAACACCAATAGTGTATATAGAAGTACTGTTATTCTCTCTGCTATATACACTCCTGCAGTCTTCTGTTCCTGGTCTGAATCTGACCAACACTAACTCAGTGATATATTGGTTGAATATGCCAATGTATTTGTTGAACAATTGGGTCAAACATTGGTAATGCACTACAACATAGATACAGGTGACAAACACCCAATAAAGAAACCACTGCAATGGATTCACCCAGAGCATTATGGAGGTAGCCAGTGCTGATATACAGTGGATGATGAAATATCATACAACGTTCAGAGAGTGTTTGATCATCTCCAGTGGTAATTACCAGGAAGATGAAAGGCACATCAAGGGTTTGGGTAGATTTTATATGGGTGAACGTGATAATGTGCATTGATGCATTTTCTTTACAACAAACAGATATTTTTTTTAGATGCATTAGAAAGTTCTCATTGGTTCAACTCATTGTATATGGTATTTGAATGCCAAGAAACTGACCTGAATATTGAAAGTAGACCTACAACTGCTTTTAGCATGAGAAATGGTTTGTACGATTTTTGCATCATGTAATTTGGCCTCTATAATCTACCAACCACTTTCAAGTGGGTAATGAAGCTTCCACTGAAAGAGCCACAATGAGAGAGATGTCTGTTTTACATTATGTTTTACAGTGTTTTGATGTTTGGTTACAAAATTGAGTCTGAACTTTAAAACCTGAGAATGATAGTCCAGTAGGTAATCAAATCAGGTTTCAAACTGAAACAAAAAGAATGGAATTTTTATATTACATTGTAGGTAGATATGACATTCTTATAGACCCTCTAAGATAACAGTGGTAAGATATTAGCCTCAAGCTATGATCAAGTAAGAAATTTGCAGTTTTTCTAGTTTTGTGTAGTAGTACCAATGGTTTATGGCCAACTTCTCTAGACAGCAGCACCATTGTACTTTCTCAATAACGTTGAAACACTATTGGATGAAGTAAGGAATGTGGTTAATCATTCCAATCCTTAAAGTGATAGCTTCAGTGTTGATATATTATTCATCTACTATAGCAGTATTGGTAATACAGACTACCAAGTGCAAGCTTACCAAGTTCTTTTTGGATACCAATGCCAGTAACAATGGAATTGGGGCAATATTATCACATTTGCAAGCCAGAGTAGAATGTGCAGTCACATATTCTAGTCGTATACTCACAGCTCCCAAACACAGTTACTATACAACGAAGAAAGAACTGCTTTGCTGGTTAATGAACTTCAAAATCCAGAAAGAATTATATCTCATTGGATATACACATTGCAAGAATATGACTTTGTCACAGTTCATTGACATGGCCCATAACATGGAAATGCTGATGGACTATCTCCTTGCATGGTGAAACCTTATACATTTGTGGAATTTTCTGAATCTGGACACTGTATGGGAGTTAAAACCATTTTCACTATAGAAATGACAAGCTATAAAGTAGGAGCTTCTGCTAGTGGATGGATGTCATGAGTAACACTTTGGGAACTCTGAGAAGAGATGCTAATTGCCAGGCAGCAAGGTAAAGCTATTTGGCACAGATACAGAAATGTAGCATACATGCATGTAACTTGTTGTACTTGTGTAGTCAGTTATGAATGCAGGAAGGTGTGCTGTGTCATTACTATATAAAACACAAAAATGTGGATTTCTTACTTTGCTGCAGCTAGTGGTCTTCATAGCTATAGAGCAAGACTTTCTGAGTTGTGTTAAATGTTGGCGTGGTGAAGATGTGCCTCTCACCTTATCACCCCAAGTCTGATGATTTGGACGAATGTGTAACACAGACTATCAATTCAATGCTTGCCAAGTTTGTTAAAACTAGCAAAACCAACTGAGATGAACCCTTGCTATATGTGATTATGGCAAACATATCAACTGAATATAGGTCTACAGACTGTTCATTGAACATGCTGATGTTTGGGTGGGAAATACTCTCTTGACATGGCGTATGATCCTTCTACACGAGAAGATGTCCCACAATATCCACAAGAATATGTTGAGTAGTTAAGATCTACATTAGTTGAATCCTACATGTTTGCTTGTTAACAACTAGGAAAAGCTGCTAGCTAGAAGTTCGAAAGCTCAGTTGAAAGAGGTTTGTAACTCTTGCTGTCTGAGGTATCAGATGGTGTTTCACAGTATGATCTAAACTATACACTATATACTATATAATTTGATTTATTTCATCAGCTAGAACATTTACGTGTTTGAAATATCAATAACCAGAAGGAAATGACAATCATTGCTTTCAAAGCCACTGAGTGAGTTTTCTTATCTGAAACTTGTGTCCCACGTTTCGAGAGAATTATTTCAATAATCCAGCTGAGTGACGAGAACTCTATTTAACATGATGCCCTGTTATTTCTAGATTCTCACGTGGATAGCGCTAGTTATTCTGGTTAATTCTGATGTTTTATGTTAAGTAAGGAGGATTGGATACATACAATTATACTTCGTTTCTAACGTATTGTTTGACAGGAAGACATCTCCAGAGACGAGTGCTGTTAACTAGTTCACTAAACCTATATAAGATGACAGATGTTATTGTATTCTTGAATTAGTTAGTAGATTCCTTATAAAACATAAGTAAATATGGTTCTTCACTTTATACAACGTGTCCAATCTGTTTATTTTCTTACATTCAAACTCAATCACTTTAGCTGAATTCAGATTTACTTTGTAACTATTCTGATTAAATCTCACACTATAGAGATGCATGATACACTTTATAAACATCAGTTAATATGAGAATACCAGTAATTATATTAATTTTTCCCAGAATGACCATAGATATATTTTGATAGGCAACTAAATTCCACAAAGGTTTGAAGCAAGCTTTTAACTTAGCTCTTGAGAAAATGTTATAAAGGCTTATTCTTGTCGTTTTAGTAATACTGAAATTTGAAGAAGATTGTTTTTCTTTCTAGTTTCTAGTTAAATAGGGACTCCTTAAAACATGGAAGCAACATATGACTCACAATTTGGACCTCCTCTTCCAGGACAAGCATGGTATAATCCTTCATCAGGTGTAGTTGAAGTACCGCCAACAAGCAGATCACTTTATCCACCAACAGGTGTGATGCTTTCTGTTTTTATTACAAATATGTATATATATGTGTGTGTACAATTACGCAGGGTATCTATAAATGAGTTCACACATTTTAAAGCATGATAGATTTTAAATAAAAACATATAGAAGCATCCTGTAAAATACATGTTCGTCTAGTGCCCTCTGGTTTTACACCACCTGGACACAACTTTTGCTGATCTCACTGAGCTTCTATAGGCGTCTATACAATCTGTCAAACACTTGGCAAGCACACTTTCTGGAACCGCAACAGTTTTCCTGTTACTTTGATATTGGCATGTGTAGATGGGCACGAGGCTTAAACTTAGATTTGATGTGTCTCCATAGCCAAGAGTCTAATGGCTTCATGCACAGAGAGAGCATGGTGGCCAGGGTAGCATTTTTACATAGCCAATCCAGGAATTTCGTAGGAAATTGTTTAGTATCTCACAAGGATGAGTCACAAAATGAAGAAATATGATAATCAATCAGTGTGGGATCACCTCCAGAACTTTTTTTAGTATTCAATTTTACAAATTGTGTTCTAATAGATCTCAGATAAGCCTATACTTAAGTGCAGCTGAAAATGTTTATAAAATTTCTTCAGTATTAGATACAGTTGAATGAAGTTATATGCTTTTTTACAGCTTCTCTTAAACAACAGCCTCAATCCAAAGCAAAAATTCAAGATGATTCCACGAGAATCTGGTATTAAAGTTGACCATATACACTCTGATACCTATTAATAATAATACTTTCGACCATAACCAGTATAAAAGGCTGAAAAGATACAATGACTAACTCCATAATTAGTATCTTGGCGGATTTTCACAGATTCTAGTGGCACTGATGCCTATTCTAAGCATTTTGTCAGCAAACATGGGCAACTGAACTCTATTGTAGGCATCTTTCTGATCTAAATCTACTGTAAATGTGTTTTGACCAGCTTATAGATAAATTCTGCATGAACGACAATAAAATGAAACTTTTAGCAAAAGAGGGGCCTTCTTGGTTTGGTGTCATCTTAGTAGCAAGGTCTTTTAATGCATTCCATATTGTACAAATCGAACAGTGCAATTAAGTGATGGCATGAACAGTTTAATGACATAAGATTTAATGTCTTATGAGAGATACTTAAACTCAGTTATGTAAATTAAGACACTATCTCCTCAGTAACTGATACTGTAAATATATTTGGACATTCTGGAGAACGTTGTCTTCCCACAGTTGGAAGTTGATGGTGTTATTAGCATGCATTTATTTCAATAATTATCCTTTACAATGCAAAATATCTTCATATTAATCAGTGAGATAATATTAGTAGCGAGGTAATAATCAAACAGTGAGCTCCATATAAGTATTGATATTAAGCTTGAGATAAAGTGAATTCTCAATACAAAATTGTTTTAGATAACTCATTGAGGTATTAAAACATGGTGAGACAGAAAATATTGAGATTGGACAGAGTGTGAAGCACATAAAGCCTGTCAGTACCCATTCAAAGACCATGGTGGACAATCACCTGTCATCATAGCTACCGATGGTTCCTACATGAAAGATATCGAGAGAACTGGTTGGAGATTTATAGTCTTGCAGAACAACAATATACTGCAAAGCTGGTGGAGCATTCAAGCTTCATACAAGCAGTACAAAATGGAGCTGGAAACTATAAAACAAGATCTTCCTTGGATTGCTGAAAGCACATAAACCCTGTCACCAACATAATATTGGTGTAAAATTCAGAGTGGTTGGTCTCCAGATAGATGGCAGAAAGTGAAGCAAGTTCGTGGTAACACTTACATCTATGTGCCAGATCATGCGCGTGTAAATCTAAATGAGGAAGCTAACAAGCATGTAGAAAAAGAGCCTTTATGGAATTCAATACAGCTCTACTGGCGGGATATCGACCTCGTCTGTATTAGTAATATGAAAGCAGCAACCATGAATGGTCTTAACTGACAATGAGAATTGCTGGAAAAAATACCGTATTGTGTAGAACATTATACAGCCAGCTAAAGTCTATTGGTAACATCTTCTAACTCCTGCGAAACAGCTAGTCTCCATTTGAGGGGCCAGTGTATGTCGGCGCATCCCCTGGGATTTTCACCTCGTACTTAGCTCTAATGACTTGGATGCAATACAGTGGTAGTACCTTGATATATTGCAAAGAACTAATTCGATATTTTATGCCACTTTCAACAAAGTACCCTAGCTGTCTTGTTACTCTGGACAGATGGTGTAGAATTCTGAGAAAAGCAACCTAAAAGACCACTTGTTAAACATCATACATTACAAGTAAGAAAAGAAACACAGTGAAGGCTGTTGCTAGTTCAAGTATGGTGGTATCATATATTTCTTGTGACAAAATGCTAATGGAGAAAAATAATATTATGTGTAAATTTGATCCAAAAGTCTACTTAGTGACACAAAAATGTTTCAATGTTCAAGACATTTTCCGTTTTATAAATAAGAAAGTTGCAGGTAAAAAGAACACGTCCTGAAAGACTTAGTGGGCTCACAAAGACTTTCAATTCTTACAGCATCTTTATTTGATATATAAGTCAATTTGGGCCCTGAAATAACGTTTTATACGAATCCGGACCTAAGGTTGTCTCTAATACAGCTTAACATTTCAAAATGTTAACAACTTATAAGATCATAAATAAAAATGGTTATGTTTTTTTACTTTCTGATTGTGGAAATGTATACCAAGGTATTAAAATAATTTTTATAAAGAATCATGTGTAATTATAAATTATTTACAGTATTATATTTGTTTGTAAAACAGTAAAACAACACTATGAGCTTTCTCATTTGTATTTATTTCTATCACATACGTTGTATTTACAATTCCTAGTTTTATAGATGGAAAATATAATATAACATTCATATATTTAATACCATAAAAGGCTCGGCATGGCCAGGTGGTTAGGGCGCTCGACTCGTAATCTGAGGGTCGCGGGTTCGAACCTCCGTCACACCAAATATGCTCGCCCCTTTCAGTCGTGGGGGCGTTATAATGTAACGGTCAATCCCACTATTCGTTGGTAAAAGAGTAGCCCCCTTCATTCTAGTCTTACACTGCTAAATTAGGGACTGCTAGCGCAGATAGCCCTGGTGTAGCTTTGCGCGAAATTCAATACAAACAAACAAAATACCATAAAATTTGAAAATGTATTTTTCTCTAAGTGAGAATTCAAATAACTTTAGTGTAAAAGTTCTTGAAAAAGATATTTGAATGTAACTCTGAACAGAACGGAAACTCTTCCAATAGTAAATATCATAATTTGGAAATATATCTGCATTAATGGGATCAAACTAAGCAGTGATTTGTAATTATTGAACAGGGTATGCCTTCAAATGACACTGGTTTCCCGGTAGGACAGCGGTAAGTCTACAGAATTACAACGCTATAATCAGGGTTTCGATTCTCCTCGGTGGACACAGGAGATTACCTGATGTGGCTTTGCTAAATAAACACACACACACAAATGACACTCATATCTTTATGTTTATTCGTCGTGATTTACTTAAGTCGCAAGTATTTACGAGATGCCTAATTCATGTTGCATGAGAACACTGGACTTGACTTCCTGCCCCCCAGTGGCACAGCGGTATGTCTGCGGACTTACAACGCTAGAAATCGGGTTTCGATACCCGTGGTGGGCAGAGCACAGATAGCCCTTGTGTAGCTTTGTGCATAATTACAAACAAACAAACAAAACAAAACTTGACTTCCTCGTATCGCAGAATGATCTGTGCCTTTCTTCTGGCACTGCTCACTGATTGAAACTTGATGGGATAAAATTTTATGCTGTTTAGACCAATACGTATTTAACCGTAGATATTTATCTTTTTTCATTTAAAAGTGCTTATGACTTAAAATGTGTACTTGTTATGCAGACATCCTATGTTTTACGTTTGAAAAATAAAATTGGAAGAATAATATACGTTACACATTCCTTTCCGATCGAATCACGATTGAATGTTTCTCTGACGTAAAAGTTTCTCTAACAGAAATATTAACAACTTCATGATATTCTCAAAGGTATATATTATGCATATTTTTTCTAAAGATTTATATAAAACAGTAACATTATTTTTTATTATCTTATTTTCTAGGTCCAGCTGCTACGCAATGGGTTTCTCTTCCCTCTTGTCCTACAAATTGTCCACCAGGACTGGAGTACTTGACCATGATCGACCAACTTTTGGTGCAACAGAATATAGAACTTTTGGAAGGTTTGATTAAATATAACGTAATCATCTTATGAGGGGAAGGGGTCGGGAGGTGATATTACATTCTTATATTATGATATCATTACCAGAAGAGGAAAATGTTAATTACTTCGAATTACTATTTACATATCTAAATAGATTAATTTACATGTATGAATTTACAGTCATATATTTTTTATTTTGTTTCAGCTTACAAGCACACACGTGTACTTTTATTTTATTTTAGGTATTTTGATTTTTATTCGGGTTAATACATAATTATTACGGACGTAGATGTCTAAATCGTTTTTCCTCAATATCTTCCAATCATCCCTGATCATTCCTTCTTCTATTTAACAATAAAGATATATTTAGCCACTTTAACTTTCTTTTTTGTGTTATACCTTTCAAGTTTATTTGTTATTAAGCTATCTGTGCTGTGCACAACACAGGTATAGAAACTCGGTTTTTATCTGAGTTAATGATGGGGCTTTACTTTTCAAAAAGAAGTTATGTCGATGGATCAAAGTGCTACATGGGCTTAACAAGCGAAAAGTCATGAGATATAATCCTATTACAGAAATAACACATCTCTTGGGATGTTTAAGATGATTTATCAGATAGTGTTCTTTAAAAGGTCATCCTCGAGTTTGCCTCATGTTACGAGTTCTTTATGTTCTTCTTTTATGTCAACTATAAAAACCTGATAATACATAGAAAATTCCAATGGGGCAGTCTTTGTCATAAGTGTATCACCGAACAATGTCACCAGTATTTAATAGCGAACACAGACGATCATCCTTTGAACTTACATTACAAGTTGATGATGATTATCATCAAACCAGTAAACAGGTAATGACCTTTTGCTGGGTTTTATCCATATCTAACCTGATGTTTTCTTCCTTATCCTTTGCTTTTTAAAGAGAAGATATGTTGATGAAAAAAGTATACCATAGGATCAACAAGTGGGAGGTCAGTGTAAAATACAATTGCTGAGATATCTAGGGAAGTTTTTTTACTGACATACACTATCTGATCACCTTATTAGGATCTATCCATCCCGAACCCCGACACTTGCAGTGGCGTAACAATAGGATGGCCTTAATAACAACATACCCAGATAATATTAGAATAAATAATTTTTAGTATTTTTAATATTTAACATTTCTATGCCTGAACCCCACATAAGAAACTGGGTGTGCAGCTAAATCTCACACTGGCAAGCTGGCAACACTGCTTCAGACTACGAGTCTGATTCTTTCTGAACTAGTTGACATTTGGCAAGTGTCTCTGGTGGCTGATGCCTGCGGCTGCATCCTGCGTTCTTCATACATTTATGAGGAAACAGTGTACAGAGCAGTCTCTTAAAGTAATAGTAATACACTAATACTACGGAGATTATGAGTGCAGTGAAAGATATAAATAGTGCCATAGTGGGTTTTGTGTATGTGGTGGTTATATAGTGGTCGTCATTATCTTGTATTTCATTGGTTTTCAACCAGTGGATCGCGAATCATTAATGGTTCGCATCAATCGATTTAGTTGTTCGCAAAATTTTGATTGAAAAATTGTCTTCGACATCTTTTTTTTTTTTTTGCTTTGCTTTTGTCTTGAATGTCTTGCTGTTGATAAAAAATAATTGTCTTGTAAAAAAAAAAAATTTGTTGACTTAAATTGACATTTCCTTTTGCTTCTTCCTGATCGATCCCATCAATTTCAATGGCCTTTATACTTTTCTGAACTCAGTAAATTTGTTTGATTTGTATAAATGATCTATAACTGTATCATATCCATACTGAAATATATTTTTTTCTTCATAGTATTGAAAGTATGGTGAGCTAAATTTATATACTCCTAAAAGACTCAGTAGTACAAAGTTCTACCTTTAATGATATTGATAGCCCTATAAATAAGATTAAAACTGATGCTAATAACTGTGTTTTTTAATGTTCTAGAAAAAGTAAGTACTGATTTTAAAAATTTGATTTTCATTACGTTACATAATACTGTGTTAAAACAAATGACAACAATAGATTTTTTGATTAAAAAAAAATCTTATGCATCTGTAGTTTATCTAAGTCAAAGCACCATCCAATCATTAAAGTTTCAATTCTGATGCGTGTGCGCGTTTGTTTTCTTATAGTAAAACCACACCGAAGACTTACCGCTGTCCCACCGGGGGACTCAATTCTGGTGATACGACTTTGTTATCACCTGATGATACAACTATAAATTGACCTTTTTAACGAAATGAAATGTTTTTTTTCAGTTGTTTTTGTTTTAGTTACTCACTAAGACACTTTAGCCAGCACACAGTTTTATGTTATAAAAATTGTTTGTGAAAATAATAATTACATAAATAAAATTCTCTGAATATTCTTCAAAATTCAAATTATTTAAAGGTATAAACTGAAAGGTAAGTACAGTGTTCGATTAAAATTAAGTGTTTTCTTGATTTTTTCACAATAATTTAATTATCAGTCGCTGAAATCGTTTTATTTCACTAATTCTATTGTGTTTTTAATAATATTAAATTATATCTCATTCCATTTTTATTCCATATATAGTATATATATAACGTTTTTGTGTTTTTTGTTTCAGAAGTTTCAGTTAATGTAACATACAAACATGTTAAAAGCTGCAACATGTCCTCAAAGAAATATCTAAGCGGAAGTTAAAAACGGAAAAAGAAAAAGGAAATTGAAGGAACTGTGTCGAAGTTGCCCAAAATTAGTGGTTTCTTTTCTCCCTTTGCTGTAAAAGTATTGACAGTGTACCTACTCAAATGTACCAGTAAGGAATAACTATGAAAATTAGTCCAGCGATGAACTTTGGGAAGACCGAAGATTGACAGATCCAGAAAGTTTGTTCCGAGTAATCGTTTTTTTATCGCACCTTGGACATAATCATAAATCAGTTGAACTCTCGTTTCACTTCCCTTCGTGAAGTTGTCTCCACCTTCTTTGTGTAGCAGCCCAGTATGTTGCAGAGCCTTTTAGACTTTATAAGCAAGCAACAATATTTGCCAGCAAGTATCAGAAAGATGTATCGGAATCATTCACTCAAGAAATCCTCAGCATGATATCCGCTCTGAAGGGTGAAAACAACAAAGTTTCTACCATCTGGGAACTTGCTAATTATTGCTCATGGTTTGTTTGTTTGAAGTTAAGCACAAAGCTACACATTGGGTTATTTGTGCTCTGCCCACCACGGGTATCGAAACCAGGTTTCTAGCCTTGTAACTCCGTAGACATACCTCTGTGCCACTGAGGCGGCTATTGCTCATAGAGAACCATTCTCTATCAGCGAGTTTTCCTGAGGTTTTCACAGCTTTGTTATTGGTTCTGATGATGCCAGTGTCGACTGCAAGTGCCGAGCGGTCTTTCTCAAAGTTAAAAATTATTGTAGAAGCACCATGAGTCAGCAACGATTACATAGACTGGCCATTCCATCAATCGAACAAAATGTTGCTCGTCAGTTCAACTTTAATGATCAATTGATCGATCAATTTGCTGAGATGAAAGCAAGGAAGAAATATTTCTAAAGATATTTCTTATGGAATATTCATAAGTTTCATGTAAACCTGTGTTAAACTTCCATGTTTATATTTGCTAATACTGAATTCGTATGTTTAGAAAAATATATCTAGCTGAAAATTTCTCTTCTTTAAAACGTGAACTCTTCTTGCTCATTCATTATATTTGATTAATAAGACAGCGAAGCTTAATAAGCTTTACATATTTTAGTTGTTCCAATATTAACCATAAACGTTATTAGTTTGGGAGGAAGCTCGAGGGGGGGGTCAGTAATACTTTGCCACGGGCCTTTCCGTTCCTAGTTACGTCACTGCACACTTGTAGAACACTTTGTGCAATCTATAACTTGCAATGTCAAACCTGTTATAGCGGCAAATAGTGGTCAAATCGATTATAAGAAAGTGGCCAGCCAGTGAGCGCGCGCTCACACACACACATGTATATATAGGTTTACAGTTTTACAATACCTCTCTAGCGTACTAATATTGGACTTTGAATACAAACATATAAAATGTCTGATTCTAATTTTAAAAAACAAAACATGTTGCACGTTTAATCGAACATAATATGCTTTGAGAGTTTTTTATATTGAAATATATGTTTATGCAGTTCAAACTTTATGAATTATGAATTCATTCTTGATAATATACTTGCAGCACTTGTTGGGCTTGAAACTAATAATAAATATCAAGTGAAAAACAACATGGGCCAGAACGTGTATTATGCTGCCGAAGGTAAGTTTATATGTTAAATCTATTAAAATTAAAAAAAACAAACATATATTAAATTGTTATTTCTGATTTAACTTAATTATTATCATGATTTATTTGGGAAATAAGTTATTTCACTGGTTTTATTTCTCTTTTTATCCTAGTGACTTTTCATATGATAACCAGCGTGTGCGGTAATAAACACATATTAAACTGATGTGCATTTTTTATTCTCTTTTATTATATTAAGTGAAACACTAAATATTTATATCAAATCAAATCTTCATAGCATGACGAACTGTATTTAGAGGAGGAAGTAAGAAACGGGAGAGGAATGTTAACAAGCAAACTGTGTCTCGAGAAAGGACTATGTAATATAACACGTTTTTCTACAAACTGCATTCCGTGTACATTAGTTGTTTGTTTGTTGGTAAAAACGCATAAAAATGTATTTTATTAGATACACACTGCTGTACCAGGTACTGGTGTGGTCCAATTCGACCATTTAACATGAAAATATTGGACAGTAGTGGCCGTGAAGTTATTCATCTCTACAGACCACTACGATGTGATTCTTGTTGTTGTCCTTGCTGTCTACAGGTAAAATATGCAGCATTATTATTTTTTTTTTTTGAAAATGAAAACAGCGCACTTTTAACCATAAAAATTGATTACTTAAAACCAATATTTATTTACCTAAATAAAGAATGTGTGAAAAACAGAATAATGGGACAGCCTTGTATACAAACAAATGTAGCCTGAGTGGATGAGGCTAATTCTAATACAAGTAGTTTAATAAAATTTAGTCGAACATTAAACATCAAATTTAAGACACTTCTTAGTTTAATTCCATATTTTATCGTTATTTGCATGCAACACTCCAACTTCGGCATTCTCAACATTGCCAAAATTTTGTAGCAAGGAAGTATAATTATGAACAAAACGATTCATCTGTGAAATACCAGTTAGCTGTCACTCACTTTATTTAGTGAAGAATAAAATTGTTTAATTCAGTTAAATATTTGATGTTATTAAAAAAGTAAGAAATTCATATTTACTTTAATACTTTTAAGATATTTTTATTTCATAACGCCCATTAAAATAGGGCGAAGTTATAAATAGTAAACCTATGAAGTACTATTTTCTTTTCCTCAATAGGTTGCTGTCTCTTAATAGTTTTTAATGCTATACTAAATAATTATTAAGAGCTCTGAGCTTATCCTTCCACAAGAAATAAGGCAAAAACTCTTTATCATGTGAACTAGGAAAAAATACCGGTAATGATGCAAACTGGGAAAAATAGCACACTTAAAGTAGTACCATCCCCACCCCACACACACTTATATATAGAAAGTACAGAAAAACTGTGTGATTTTATTTTTACGTAATATGAATATTTTTCGCTCTGCATTATTTCTGCTGTAATTTTTATCAATGCCAGTATTACTGGAGCCGTCATAAATTATCGGTTCCATTTTCCTCCCCACTTTGCATTATTACCTGTACTGTTTTTATCATTGCCAGTATCACTGGAGCCGTCATAAATTATCAGCTCTATTTTCTTTCCCACTTTGAATTATCATCTGTACTGTTTTTACTGTCATATACATTCATACTAGAGATCTAAGCGTTGTTCTAAAAGATGTATTACACTCATTTCCTAGCACCAATGTACAGCTTACCTTGTGGCATGGTTCAGAAACCTTATTTACAAAGCAATTTTGAAACCAATTATCGAATTTTTCTGATTATGACCTTACATAGAGAATAGTTAAATCAGACAATGACTCAAATATAGGCATCATAAAACATGCTTATGAATATGTCTGATTCTATTCGTCTCAATATTTAGAGGGACAAAACAGTGGCTATTTATACCTTTACTGTTCTAGTTTGTCAAAGGGTGAATATTGCTTAACGATTTTTGTTGCTATTATTAACAAAACAAAAACATAAGAATATATTTTTATTTCAGGAAATGGAAGTTACTGCCTCAGGCTCTACCATAGGTTTTGTCAAACAAGAGTGGAGTATTTGTATCCCAAAGTACAGAGTTGAAAATGCTGCCAAGGAGTGTATTTTACGGATTGAAGGACCATTTTGTCAATGCACTATGTGTGGTGATGTGAATTTTAAGGTTAGAATTTAAGGGTTGTGTTTGATTGCATTTTCGCTAAAATAAAATGTGCCCATTTAGTTAAGTGTTATTTTCTGGCACGGTTACATTTTTAACAATTGTATTACACTTGCTTTTTTTTTTATAACTTAGTGAAAAAATAATGTAACTAATTACATATTTATTCAGTTATAGAGAATTATCTAACATTTTCTAATTTTTTTAAATTACGTTTTCCTCTCAAATTCTAAAAATATTTTTTCTAATATTTAATGTCATTTCCTTCATTTAATGTTTTATGTTTAAAAAAGTATAATAATAATGAAGATAGTATATTTATTTATAAATATGTACTACCGGCACTTGTGTTTAAAATTTTCAAAAAAGTATAGTTACTTGTTTAATCTGTAATCCGTCGATGAACACGTTCGCCCTTTCAACCGTGAGAGCATTGTAATTTGACAGTCACTTCCATTATTCATTGGTAAAAGAGTAACCCAACAGATGGCGGTGTAGAAGGGAGTGTTGACTAGTTCCCTTCCCTAGTCTATTAATTCAAATTCAGGACGACTAGCGCGGCTGGTCTTCCAATAGCTTTACGCGAAAATTCAACAAATAAAAGTATCTTTATTTGTTTATTTTCAGCGCAAAGATGAACAGTGGCTATCTGCGATGTGCTTACTGTAGGGATATTTCTTAACAGCAAAGTAAAGCCATTTATTGTTGTGTACAATCAGGCGTGATTTGTGATTTTTATTTTTTCCTGCTTTAGGTACTTTCCCATGATGGAAGTAAAGAAGTTGGAAAAATCACTAAACAATGGTCAGGATTAGTTAAAGAAATGTTCACAGATGCAGATAATTTTGGGATTACATTCCCAATGAATTTAGATGTCAACATAAAAGCTGTTCTTCTTGGAGCCTGCTTTATGATCGTGAGCATTTGATTTTTTTTTTAAATTACCCCAAACTGTTTTATTTAACTTTGTTTCTTTTACATGTAGATTTTGTAATAAGGTTAAAGATGAAGGATGGTTTTACTTACTGTTTTCAGCAGTTTATGGCAAAGCGAAATAAATAAATCTGTTGTTTAACAAGGGTGATGAAAAGGAAGGTTTGAATATATTCCGGAGGTGATTCAGTCAGGTAACTGCATGGAATGATTGGATGCAAAACCAACCTACCATTACTTTCTTCTAGCCCTAGATGTCCTAGTCTTTGAACGCTGAGTGAGAACTATTTATGTAACTGTAACTCAATTGTGAAAGAGCTTCATCACAGATATGCAAAAAATTGAACTATCTACAAAAATTAAAGCCAGAAGATGCAATGAAAGTTTGGCAGCTTGTATTAATGATTTGTTTTTGTTCTAGTTACACTGTGAGGCATAGCTGAGCATGGCTGAAAATTCCCATGAGGATATCCTTTTATATAAGTTTATTGAGGTTCTGATGATTGAGCCTACGAGGATTCATTTAGGCATCAGAGATCTTCTAATGCCAAATGCAGTTTAATGAGATTTTAAGAAGTGTCTTCAAGCAAAACCTCAAGAAGTAAAAAGCTAGAAGCAGTGCTACTGGGATCCAACCAATTACAAAACACTTTCAGATGCATCTACACTTCTGAGACATCAGAAAAAGTCCGAGTTACCGCAGCTAAAGTTACAGTAAGCTGTAAAAGACTAGCAAAGATGAGGTACCCTCTTGATACAGGAACCTCAGAGACATATTTATCTTACTAATCAATAGCTGCAGTAAGACAAATATTAAGATGAACATTTCAGTAAAAATCAGGTTAATGGTATTGCTGTGATAGCCAGGACTTTCCACGTCTAGTTTGAGTACAGAAAAGGATGTGGTAGAGCAGAACTTGCTCTAGTGTCAGACAACAGCGAAAGGCTTGTAGAGGAGCTTTCACAGCTGCAAGGGTAGTTAGTAGCTGGTCTCAGGTTATGTTTGTGTTAAAAGCTGAGAAAGTTGAAGTTGGCTTGAACACGGTCTAGTACGTGCCTTTAAACATAAATGGTTGCGAGGTTGAGTTTTTAGTCGATATTGAAGCAGTCAGTACTTGACTCAACCTTGTAGTCCTTCAAGAACTCCCATCTAAACCACTATTCTGACCATTAAATACTACGCTCTGGCTAAGCGTAATGGGTTAGAAGTTTAGTGAAGATGTTAGGCATTCTCTCATAATTAATATTACTTTTTTTCTGAATGAATACATTAATAGCTGAGCTTATTTCATGTACAGGCAAGTGTGACCCGTAGAACAGTTGAACTGTAGCTTTGTGATTAATTCATCAAATCCCGACGAAATAAAATCCAGAACTAGTAATTTGAAACTGTACATTTTGAATACGAAATAACTATTCCATCAAATGTACGAATGTAATAATATATATTAAACATTCGTGGATTTTACCAGATAAACATGTTGTTTTGTCTCTAAACACCAATTTGTACTCACTCTAATTGTAATAGCTCTAAAAAGAGGATATATTCCAGTTATATTGTGTGATTATGGACAGTCAACTATAACGTTATACAACTGGAATTGTACAAAGAGTGGCGTGTGAACGATAATTAACCGAATAGAATAGCTAGCATTACTTCAGCCATACTGCATTTATGAGTAAATATACAGCTTCCAAACCATCTGAAGTCGCTGGTAGAAAAATGTAAAAATAGCCTGGATACATATCAACAGAAATAACGTTGTTTAAGATTAACATAAAATGAAGAGTTTATTAATTATTTAATTGCACTTAACCTTCATTAATTATTATAGAGTAAGGACTCGGGGTGGGAACAATAATGATAAAAATTAATCATTTTCATTTGTGTTTTTATTTTAAGTTATCATATTTTACGTATTACAGGTATTATAAAAAACATATAATGTATTAGGTCATTTGTTACTGCTGTGTTTAGCCTTCATGACCTATTTCAGCTTAATATATATTTCCTTCCCTTTCTCTCTCTTTCAGGACTTCATGTTTTTTGAGCACACCGCAAAGTAGGAATCCGACTGCCCAAGGATATGTTGGAGAGATTCGGACCAGTAATAACTATGTGATAATCTGGTGGAAGTATTTATCTCGTTGATATTGAGTAAAAATAATAATATATAATCTACATACGAAGGAATTAAATATCAAGAAAATCCAGTTTTTTTTTCTCTATATTTTGTTTTGTTTTTCACAAATATTGGGCAAGTTTGATTGTTTGTCAACCACCCTTGTACACAACACGTTTCTATTTTGAAATATTATACTTAGTAGTTTGTGGTTTTGATGTCACAGTGCAATATACATCGTGATTTATCTGGTCAAACTTACAAATATATTTTTTTAGTGTAGTGTGGAATCAGATTAGTTGATCTCATCATAATCCCTAATGTACAGCATGTATTACTTTTTTTAACTCATAGTTTTTAAAAAACGATTATTTTATACACAATTCTATAACATGTATTACTGTTTCAAATGTCCAGATATTTCATTAATGCTTCTTGTAAAAATCCTTTGACATCCTGCAAAAGGGGAACATTATAATGTAACAATTTAAAGCTAATAATCTGAATAGATGAATATGAAGCTTAAAGATAGAAGAAGTATACATAACTGTGAAAACAAAAATTAATTACATACAAGTTTATGGTTACAAAAAGCAATAGATATTCATATAATCATATTTATTTTGCATTTCTGTACAATGGATTCCAAGATGAACTACAATTTTGGTACCAACCATATCATTAAAAATTTATGCTAAAAATTGTATCAAAAGTAATACAAAGTGTTTTTAAGTAACTCTCAGGCATTTTCGTTATTTTCTCTAAGTAAATAAAGGTTTTTCGAATCATCCAGATTTTACTTTCACATTGATAATCTTTGGAAATATAAACTAAACAAATTCTAATAAACTACATATTTCTGGAATAAGAGAGTTTAACTTAGCTATACTATAAATTATTTAATGTACCTTAAACATAAACCCTAATACAACGTGAACATTGCGGTCAAAATAATTGTGACATACTTAGAGTAGCAAAATGGATAAAATTATTTTAACTAGCTAAAAAACCGTATTTACAACAATTATTTGTTTTTGTACCCATTGTAAACAGTTAACAGGGTGAACATATAATTCATACAACAGTTGTTTTGTGCCAAACTTAATTCCAAATTTGTAGTAAATACGTATTGATCTAGCTCTCTTAGATCTTACATAAGATGAGAATTTTTATATATATTGAAAATTCTCACATCGTATTGAATCAGTAAATGAGAACATCTTAAATTTAATTTATATAACGTAGTCATAATGAGCCGTTTGTTTTATGCCTGTACGGCAATCACAGAACAATTGTAGACAAAATATGTGGTTTTGAAAATATTTAAACGTGTTTTTATCATTGAAAGAAATGCATATGATTCATGTCACAAATTAAAAGTTTTTTTGTATTTAAGTGTGAATTGTAGTGCTTTTGATTAGTGTGGATTTGAAGTTTACTTTTTGCTGTCACTTATTGTACCAAAACTGTTTTGTTTGATTACTCATTTTACTCCAGATTACTATAAAATACCAAATGTAGTTTTTACTGACACTAGGACATCCTCTTACACGTACTTTCAGTATTCCAATGTGGTATAATACCAAATGTAGTTTTTACTGACACTAGGACATCTAACTGTTTTGTTTGATTACTCATTTTACTCCAGATTACTATAAAATAACAAATGTAGTTTTTACTGACACTAGGACATCCAACTGTTTTGTTTGATTACTCATTTTACTCCAGATTACTATAAAAAACCAAATGTAGTTTTTACTAACACTAGGACATCCAACTGTTTTGTTTGATTACTCAAATTACTCCAGATTACTATAAAATACCAAATGTAGTTTTTACTGACACTAGGACATCCAACTGTTTTGTTTGATTACTCATTTTACTCCAGATTACTATAAAATAACAAATGTAGTTTTTACTGACACTAGGACATCCAACTGTTTTGTTTGATTACTCATTTTACTCCAGATTACTATAAAATACAAATGTAGTTTTTACTGACACTAAGACATTCAACTGTTTTGTTTGATTACTCATTTTACTCCAGATTACTATAAAATACCAAATGTAGTTTTTACTGACACTAGGACATCCTCTTACACGTACTTTCAGTATTCCAATGTGGTATAATACCAAATGTAGTTTTTACTGACACTAGGACATCCTCTTACACGTACTTTCAGTATTTCAATGTGGTATGATTTTTTACCTATCATCAAGAGTAAGTTGTGGGAAAACTTTAAACTTCCTAACATTTTATATGATTGGAAGCTCCAGATCTCAAGAATGGATGTTAATTATGAAATGACGTAAAAGTTTGAGATAGCATTAAAGGTATTACAGGCTATAGACTGAAAGGCCAATTTCTTATGGACATTCAACTTTCCCTCTACGTCTTCGTCATTACTACTGTATTGAACCTTGTGTTTAATCTAACTTGATTCAGATATGAAATTGGTTTTATATTTCGTATTTTGTATTGTAAACCCTATAATCAAAATGCATATTATATTTTATTTCAGAAGCTTTTGTCTGATTATTTTGTATGTTAAACGTTGCTTTGTTTTCTCATTTGACACGGAAAACTCAAGTATTTCAATGAAACAGATTTACCTTACATTATTATTTTTACAATATGTTTTAGTCATTTAAGTACTTTGAAAGATAACATGCTTTTTGTCACGGTTTCAATGAGTTTGTAGAAAAATAGACCATTTATGTGTGAAAACTCTAGTAGCTCATTAAATAATTTATTTAAATTACTGTCTTAGTAGCTTGAATATATATTATCAACATTTTTAGAAGTTTCAATGAACCAACCAAAGAATAGGTATTTAGTTATTATTACTTATGCTTTGAAAATATCTTATACCAATAGATAGAGAACAAAGTCATCTTCAGGAGAATATCAGGTAACAACATATCAATATACAATAATATTGGTCGTATATTGATTTTTCATGGTGAATTTACAAAAACTTGCAAGAGGGAACCATTTCCTCCTTAAGTTTTGTGCACTGTATTTTGAAATCTTCTGATTGAATGATTGAAAAAAAACGTTTAATTGAATAAGTCGATCAACAGAGAAATAGATCTCTGATTATCAGATCTTTTACAGATCGATTGAAATATATAATACAGATTTTACAAATGGTGCATTATCCTCGGTACATTTTCTGTTGTCATCAGTGCTTATAAGACATTTTTAGTTTTATAGAAAAATCAAAGTCTTAAAGCAACATTCGTTGGTTCATAAATAAAAAATAACCTAATTCTGTTGACAGTGTATGAACATAGAAGTAACTTCATACCAATAGATCTTGCTAGAAGTCACACCAATAGTTCCTGTTCGCAGTATATATGGAAAATTGATCACCATATCACAAGTAACGACTATTTGTTGCTGTATAAAAAAAAAAAGTTATTTACCTGTTGTAAATGTGTTTGTCGTCATTACTTGAATAACAACTAGCCTAATATTAAAATACCTGCTGACAGTAAGTGAATAAAAACTATTCTAATTCCAGTAAGCCTGTTGTTAAAATTGGAATAAAAACTATAGCCTTAATAACCATTAATAACACAGGCCTGCGAATTTAAATTTCACAAAAGTTGTTTTGGTTTTAATAAGGAATTTTCCATAATTCAGTTACGCAGATTTCGAAAATATTATCCATTTTTTTCCCATCGCGTAAGGATTTTTTACAAATCGGGAAGAAAAAAAAACTTATCTAGATCAAATTATTATTTCGTTTACCACAATGAACATTTTTTATGATTATGTTTGGGTTCTAGAACGATCGATAAGACTCACTTCGCGATTGGTCTAGAAAAATCTATAGCCTTGGTTCTCAACATTTTAAGCATAAGAAAATGTGGCCCGATTTGAAAGAAAATGATTCACTTATGTAGAAGTACATATGACGTTTGGTGAAAAAATCTGCACGTGGTGGAGAAAATGAATATTATTTTCAAATTCAGCGTACAGGAATTGCTGTAGAACATGTAAAAATGTCAAGACAATGAAACCATCGCAGACGTAATTACTGCTGCTGCTAATATCATATAATCAAAATCTAGTCTGATACTAGTTGATTCTATACCTAAGTGTATTTTCAGTAATCGACTTAAACAGTAACCTAAAACAAGTATCCCGAGTTATCACTAATACTTCCTGCTGACACTAAACTGAACAACTAAATCAATACTAGTAGCTGCTATTAGCAGTATACAGAGAGAAAGTAGTATTAGTTCATACTAGTTGTTTTTATTAACAATAATTGGATAAAAACCATACCCACATCTGTAACTTCTTTTGGTAGTACACGCATGAAAACTAGCTTTTTAACAATAACTCTTGTTGAAGGTCACAAATACAAGCTAGAATCATACCAATGGTGAAAACTAAAAGCTAGTCTTACAAATACAATTAGATGCTTGTTACCATTGATTAATTTAAAACTATTTCAACATTAGTAACTACTGCTGGTAGAGTGTGATTACTAGACATATCATCATATATTAACTTTCCATAACTATTAAATAATATATCTTTAGGTGTATTCAGGTAATTTTTTAACATTTTCATACAGGTGTTCCGCACGCAATTACGACATATTTGTAAGTCGGGTGTGAGAAATCAACTTGCACTAATCGTCTACCTTAGGTTGTTGTGATTGTTGTTGTCTTATAGCAAAGCCACATCGGGCTAGCTGCTGTGTCCACCGAGGACACAACAGGTAGCCAGCCCATAGTGCTTTGCTTTAAAACAAACAAACAGATTATAGTGAAGAAACCTTTTATTTGCTCATTTGTGTTTGCTTGCTTATCTGTTACCGTCCATGTTCGAAATTATTTTTCTGCATAATATTTTTAGAACCTGTACTTTGCGGACACTTATAGCTGTAGGATATTAGTGTTCCTGAATACAAACAAACCCAATAATAATAATATGTATTTTGTTGTACATTTTAAAACTATCCCATACTTATATTTCTTGTGGTAGTAGAACCATGGACCATGAGATGCATATACCGGCATAGACCACCAAGACACGCCCGGTCCCCAAAGTTGCTGAAAAGTCTAATGGTTACGATATCGGAATACTGGATCCATTGATTGTGCTAGCCAAGAAACACTGTACTGTTATTATTTTACTTACACCACCGTGCCTTATACTACTATGGGTCAATTCGACTTGTTTTAAGTAAAGCGTTTCCTATTTACTCTCGCCTTATATGCGGAATTTGTACTCTGTTGTACATCAGTTTACCTGAATACCACAAGAGAAGAGATTGAAAAATATACAGTTGAAAATGTTAACACCAACAGGGGCCAAGCGCAGCCCAAAGATTAGTGTGCTGCACTGTGGATCTGAGGTTCCTTGATTCACGTCTCGATTCCGCTAAGAATAGAAAATCGCGCTTTGCACTTTGGAATGCATTGTAAGTGTGACAGTAAAATCATACTATTAAGCCCGACAAAATTATCCCAGTGTTGGCAGTAAATGGTTTTGATTAGCTGCTTTCCTTCTAGCCTATCACTTTAAAATTAGGGACGGCTAATTCAGATATTCCTCGTGTAGTTTTGCGCGAAATTCGACATACGAACACTACACCCAAATATAAACCCAAAATACCAGCTCTGCGTATAAGCAAAATATAAGCCCTAATTACTACTCTTTGTAGTAATATGGAAAGTATTTAAACCAAATGGTAAGACCAGCAAATATTATAAAAACCAACACCATTAGTCATAGATTCACATAAAGCTATGTAGGAAAAGTTCAAAGTTCTATCAAATATGTAGTAATATAATATCCTTCGTTGATCTCAATGTTGAAACTTAACAGCAAATGACCAATTTAGTCAATCTTCTTGCTGGTGCACTTGTTATTTGTTTCAACTCAGTTGATCTTTTGTCCCACTCTCTTAGTTTTGTATAGTTTGGTTTTTCACTCGTGGTTGGTAGATAAATGATGGATCAGGCTTATTCGGTCTTTAGAGTTTTATTGATGTGTAAAACATAGTTCGATAAATTTATTTAATAATAAAATATCTTATCCGGATCAAATTTTGAAAATAAAAAACTACGTACATGCATGTATCTATTTTCCTTGTAACAAACCACACAAATGTTAAACATGTCCTAACATGCCTGATCACTTCGTAGCAAAGAGCAGATCTCGCCGCTGAACCGTTAGTTGCGACATTAACCTTAATGAGTACGGACGTGCTTTATGGGTCCTTAAATCTTTACTTTTTCTTTTTTATGGTTACTGTTTTGAACCAAAGTTGTTCTTCGTTGGGTTGAATATATATACCAAAAAAAAACACAAAAGAGTGTGGTTTTTTCGTTGAGTGACAAAGTAGACATTATGAACAAATTAAAAACAGGTGAATCTGGTAAATATCGAGCAGAAAAATATGGCTTTGGAACTTAAACAATATCAGGCATTTAGAAAAAGAGCGATTCAATTTTTAATTCTGTTTCTGTTTTGGAGAAGGAGGATGGAAGTTCGACGCGGAATGCAATGAAAAAAAAAACAGAAAATAAGAAAGTAGATAATACTGTTTTCATGTAATTTTTAAAAAAGCAGTTACACGGTCAGCCCATTTCAGGTCCTGATCTTTGTGAAAAAGCTGGAAATTTTAAGAACAACTTGGTGGTAATCTATAATTGAAGCAAGCTCAGAATGGCTAAGAAACTTTAAGTTATGACATAGTATACGTGTACTATATATTCATGTCGAAAAGTTTTCAACTGACTTTATAGAAGCTTATAATTTTGTAAATAAACTAAAAACGTCAATTTGCAAAAAAAAAAAAAAAGAACACGATACCGACTTCGTATATAATCCAGATGTAATTGTACTTAGCTGGAAAACTCTCTCAAACAAATCACTGGCATCACGAAGAGAGGCAACTGCGCCTGGTTGTAAAATGTCTAAGGAGGGAGAGACGATTTTGGTATGTGCTAATGCTAGTGAAAATCACAAGCTGTCTTTGCTACTCATTAAGAAATGTTAATGATACGATTTTTGATAATGTCCAATTATCTGGACCACCCTTGGTCCCAATTAGTCCAGATAATCGGCGATCTACTTTACTTTATTGGTATATTTTCAGAAAAACCTCATGTTTCAAGGTATATTTAATGAATACATTGATACAGGTATAGGTCAATGTATTTATATCTTTAACAGTGTACGTTGACATTCTGTTTCGCATTAAAATAGATACAGCTGTTATCAAATATTTTAACTTTTTTATTGAGTTTTGGGCGTTTATTTTTGAAAATTTATAAAACAAATGTTTCAGAAATATGAATGAATATCTTAAATTTGATATCGAAATTTGTTGTCACTTCCAAAACAATTTTATAATAATTATTATGATGTTGCTTTCGTTTTTGTTTAAAACATATCGTTTAGTAAAAATTAAGTATTTTCAAATATATTTATTGTACAAACTAGTGATTAAACAAGAGAGCAAAAATACACTAGTGAGAAATATAAAATTTATGTCTTATATTCACGCACCACCCCCCGTGTCTCAGAAATAAGACTTAGAGCTTATAACGCTAAAAGTTGGACTTCGATACCTGTGGTGGGCACAGCGCATATAGTAAAATCTGCAGCTTTGCATTTAAAGCAAACAAAGTTTTGCGCAATCAAATAAACAATAATTGAATCCTCTTCCATTTGAATACCTTTATTCAGCGTATTTTGGACCCAGTTTCGAAAATCTATAACAGGTGAATTATCAAACATATCTCACAGTTTGCTTAATTATTGGAATAATTAAAAGTAAATTTGCTAAGTAACAATGTTAACTTTCAAATATTGTTCAATACTGCAAAATCATATTAACAATAGAAAATTAAAGAAAAAAATCATTCTATATATGCATGTGACATCTAGTGGCTGATCTATGAATCTACTCACACGGAGAGAATCCCGATTAAAATATGTGAGAGGGATTTATATTATTTATAAACAATGTTCTTAAAATAAGATAAAAAAATTAATCGAAGTCAACTGGTTTCTCCCTTTGGTAATACCAGTGCTGGAGCTATGATACTCGAACTGGAACTGCACTGGCGGATACTGGTGTGTCAGAATTTAGAAATATAATTCTTTTTGCCAATTGTCAAAAATAAAAGGCTTTTACTTATACTTATTAATAGTATAAATATATAATGTGTTGTTGATGGGATTAGGATTCTTCTACAGGTGTCTGTAACTTGTTGGTGATAAAATCAACGATAAATGAATAGCACGCACTTCACTTGTTTTCAAAATGATATATATTGTTACGACAGCGGGGGTCACGTGACTCTAGTAACA